AAGCTCACTTGCGATAAAGAGTGTAAAACATTTTTTCTTGCTTAAAATTATCATAAAAGAAAAATTTTTAACAAAACAGATGTAATCAGGAGAGTTTTTAAAAAGTATAGTTTTTAAATTTTTATTTTATTTTTTAGAGTTTTTGTATATCAACTAAAAAAACTTATTTATTTAAAATTATTAAAAATATGATTTCAATAAGGCATGCTGCAGTTACAACATACATATACATAATACCTCATACTTCTTAAACAAGGATGATTTTTTCATGTTACTTTATATTATTTAATGAGAATAATTTTGCTTTTCAATAACAATCTTTTCTAACTCTTGATAATCCTCCATAATTTGCAGGTATATTGCATGGTACTCTTTTCTTGGCTTAGCTACAAGTTCGCAATTATTTAAATTTCTCGCATTTGTGGGAAATTCCTTTCTATTCATTCCAAAGACTCCGGGTGCTTCTATTGTTCTTAAAAATGCCATTCTAGCTTTGGTTGCTGCGCCAAAAGATGCAGAATTTCCATTAGCGCATCTCCACACGTCAACGCCAAATATATCTGCCAGAACTTGCAATATTTCATTATTCTTGCTTGCACCTCCAACAACCAAGATTCTTTTGGCAACATTCCCTTTTTCCCTTTCGTGATTGTCACGTAAGTCTCTTACATTACCTCCTGTCAGTTGGTTCGTCCTTAACTTCATAGACATAAATTGTGATTCGATTATGGCCTTAATATTATATTCAGGCGAGTCCATAAATTCTTCGACCAACTTTTTATCATAGAATCGGTAAATTCCTTTAGCAAATGGAATTATTTCCTGAAATAAAAAGTAAAACCCGATTTTTGCGGGATCTGGCGATGTGGCAGCGAGGCGCTCACTAAACTCTAACCACGGATCGTTACTTACACAAGCTTTTGGACAGTACATATCTCTCACATACTCTCTGGCTAAACTCCCATTTTTGTAACATAACATAGAAATGAAAGCATCTGGATCAATGGGATGGTATAAAGTGTGAGATTCCAATGTAGGTGATGCTATGGTCGTATATATGAGTACTGTGTCCGACGTTCCTAACGAAATTATGGCGTCTCCAGGTTGCAGATAGAAAGACAGCATAGTTGCAGGATTGTCACCCGTGAACGAATTGATTTTGCAATCTGAAAATAAACCGATTAAAATCAGAATATAATACTCGTCATTAATGAAAATTAGAATAAATCGCTTTTTTTACCTTTACTAAATTTATATCGCTTAACAAAGTATTCATTAATATTCCCTAGAAACATCAATCCATCAATCACAGGGTCCCCAAGCTTCAATTTTAATTCTTCTCGATTTCTTATATCCTCATTATCATGTCTAATATTATCAATAATTTGATCATTACTACATATTTCTAACAATCTATTATCCCAGGTTTTCTCACGAATATCAAGTAAATTCATTCCTGAACCATCTGAAACATCGATTGGTGCATATCTACCAAGAAATATTGAGGCTAGAAATGAACTAACTAAGGATATTCTTGATGTTTGATGATATAAGTTTGGATACATTTGGCAAACCTATTAATGATAATATAAAAATATAGATAAGATACATTATCAAATATAACTACTTATTACCTTACCTTTGCGATTTGATTGCCAGTAAATCTTTCAAATCCTCTTGACCCTGTTATATCCATTAACATTTCTGGGCCACCAATTAATTCTTCCAAGTTTTTACACTGTATATAGGTACTCGAGTCTTGCCACGTTGGAGAATTTGGGATTGTAAATGAATTGGCCAGTTGTGAGACTAGAGTTTTGGATGGATCCAAGGAGGTCAAGGTGTCGAGAGCAGAGTCACACCAATACACGCTTCCATGTTGCTAATTTAAATTTATTATTAAGGATTAGCGTCGAAATCAAGCGATTAAACTTGTAAATAAATCATAGAACATCATTAATATTACTTGAGCTGCTCCAGATATAGCTTTTACTTTGTTAAAAGGAAAGCCTTGTGATTTTAATTTATGAAGTAACAAATCGACAGATTCAACCCACATTAAGACTGGAGAAGTAACAATGCATCCATCTGCTACAACGCCATTTAGAGTCCTGTCGAATTCCAAATTTGAACATAAAGTATGTTAACATATTAATTCTGTATATATAAATAATGAAATTTACCCATAATGCCGCAATTCTTTATCAAAATGTACCGAATCTTCAAGTACTATTTTACTATCCTCATCGATAACTGTTAATTTCAATTGCTGGGTAGAAAGATCAAAACCCATGTAAAGGTTAGTCATTTTTTGAAAAAGTAATATTTTCTTTTTTTTTTGGAAGCTCAGAATTTAAGTACTATTGGTCGGAATTTGTTTATCTTTGGGGCTCATAGGCTTTTTGGCCAATGAAAAACTTAGTTCATTAATTATGTATAAGCCACTAATAAATTTCATAAACTTGCTTTTTAAACTACAGTACACACATATATATACAGTATATAAATCCGCATTTCCATCACGATTGTGCAATAAATAAATTTACAAAGATGATGCAAAAGCACAGTGAAATTTCGATCAGCATCTGAAGATCATGTTATTCCTAATGAGAAAGTCGAGGAATTCACGGGACAGTACGATAAATAGAGACATGCTAGACAAAGCAGAATTCAAAGTTCGAGTAATGAGTGTCTTTCAGACAGACGCGTTCAAACATTCTTTGATAAACTGCTTATCGTCACGAAAAACACATGATGATTTGCGGATAGCATGAGTAATTTGAGAAAGTATTACTTATTTAAAGTGAATCAATTTGTTGCCATTTTTTTTTTTCGAACTTGTACAAAAATATAAATTTCGACTTCATGACGCGGAGTTTATTTTTTTTTATATGCAGTACTGTAAAGTATGAAATTCATTTAAAGTTTCCCAGTTAATATCATATGCAAGTATTAGTATCAGGGCATATATTCTACTGTAAAATGGATGTGAAAAATCGATTAATTTGGTTAGTTACTAAATAAATTTAGAATTATAACCAAAAATAAATTAGTGGAAATTGATTAATAATAATAGTGATATACATACGTATAAAATTTACCATTCTACAGTGAACTCTCTCTAAATGCACACCCTCGGGACCATAGAAAAATTTTTGAAAAATGTGCATTTATAGAGGGTGTGCATTTATGGAGGTAATTTTATTAAGAGTTCTATATACTTGGGACCAAGCTTGACCGTGCATTTAGAGAGAGAAATATAGTAAGTGCATTTATAGAGGGTGCATTTAGGGAGGTCTCTCTGTATATGGCATACGCGACTAAAATTTAATAATTATAACACCTACAAATGCCTACATAGCATATATGACTTAATCTTAATAATTATAATGTCTACAAACGCCTACATAGCATACATAACTAAAATTTAATAATTATAATGCCTACATAGCATACATGACTAAATTTTAATAATTATAACACCTACATAGCATATATAACTAAATTTTAATAATTATAACACCTATATAGTATACATGACTAAATTTTAATAATTATAATGCCTACATAGCATACATAACTGAATTTTAATAATTATAACATCTACATATATGCACTATTATAAATTTTATTATTTTATATAACATATGTAATTGAATTTTGATAATTATAGTACTTACATCTATATTATTATATAATTAAATAATTAATAATGTCATGTATATTATACATAAAATTTTTTAATTATTAATACAGTTAATAATTGTTTAAAAAAATATAAAAAATGATAATTTTTATATTTCAAAATTTATACTTTATTATGTCTTCCTTTCAACTTATTACAATTGATAATTCTATATTAAAAATTATTTTTAAATGGTTAAATAAGCTTTCATGGTTAATTTATAATTCTGAAACTATAACCTTATTTTGTAAATATTGTATTTCTTATAATAAGAAAACCAAATTTGCAACAATTGGTTCAAAAAACATTACACATTATTCTATTTTAACTAAATATGAAACTTCTAAAGATCATATGGATACAATAAATCCATCTAATAAAATCTGATTATATTATAAAAAATCTTAAAATTATTTATTATTTGGCAAAAAATAATTTATCTTTAAATGATTTTTTTTCACTTACACAACTTATTCAGTATTTAAATTTATCAAATTTAATTAATAATTCCACAAGTTATTAAAATCCTAATGCTGGATATGAATTTCTAATAATAATATCTCAAACTTTAAAAAATCAAATATGAAATAAGATTAATTTTACTTCAGTATTCAAAATAATAATAGATGAAAGTATTGATATAACAACAGATAAACATTTAATTATTTGTATTTGTTATATTACTCAAGAAGATTATATTAAAATTTAATTTCTAAAACTTATTTCATTAATTAAAAGTGATGCTATAACTATTGCAAATAAAATAATTTATCTTTTTAATTAAAAAGTTATTTATTTTTAATATTGATTTTAAAAATATTTAAATAACAAATTATATATTTTATATATTTTAAAAATCAATAGATCTTTTACAAAAATTACATATATTTGCTTCAGATAATACTTTAGTTATACTTGGAAAATATAAAAGTATTATAATAAAATTAAATCAATAATATTCTTATTTTATTATTAATTATTATATAGCTTATAAATTAGTATTGGTTTGTAAAAATGTCTAAAAACAAATGATATTTTATGAACAAGTCAAAAATATTATGTAAAACATATAATTTTTTTAAAAATTCAAGTTAAAGAATTCAAAATTTTCAATAATATTAAAAATTATTTGAAATTCCTTAACTTAAATTAAAAAAATTTTATGAAATTCATTGGTTAAGTTAGTTTTAAACATTAAAAAATTTTTGTATTACTTTACTTGCACTTAAGGATCAAAGTTTTAAACCAAAAACTGATTGATCTACAAATTAGTTTTAGTTCATATCAATTTAGTTTTTAAAATTTTTAAATTGATAAAAATCGAATTGGATTGGTTTTAAAATTTTATAAACTGATCAGATCAAATCAAATCAGTTTCAGTTCAAATCAAAACTGATTTTGATTTTTTATATTTTATATTTAAATAAAAATAAAATAGAAAAATTAAGTTAAAATAAAATATATAAAGTAATACTTTGTTTCATTTTTTCACAATGTAGGGTTATAAATAAAGAACTTTTTAATAATTTTATTTTTGTTGTTTTTATCATTTTTTTATATTTCAGCAAGTTTGTTTAATGTTGATATTTTTTTTATTCTAACAATTATTATTTAACTTCTTATCAATAATTTTTTTAGCAATTTTTTTAAAATAGAACATAAAAATTCTTTTAACAATTTTAATTTTCAATATATTAACGATAAAATTAACAGCTTAATTAATTATAAAAACAACAATATTAGTAATATTATTATAAATAATTTGTCAGAAACAGTATTATCTTCTATAATAACAAATCAAAGCAAAGTATAAAGCCATTTTATAAAAGATTTGAATTTTAAAAATACTAAAAAAGCAACTTGTAACTATTGCAAGGCCACATATATTTGTAGTAAAAGCAATACTACTAATATATATAAATATCTTGAAAGATATTATGCTGCAAAATAAGATTGAAACATTAACAGATCAAGTATCGAAAATTATTTTAATAAAATAAAAGTAATAAATTTTATTTATATTAAATACCAAGTTTATTATTTAATTTATTTAATATTTTAATATTTAGTGAACATACAACCATAAAAAAATAAAAAAAATTAATTCAATAGATTATTGTTAAGTAATATTCTTTTATGATCATACAAGAACTAACTTTTCAAAATTTTATAGAAACTTTATTAGAAAATGTAAAATTATCTTCTCCAACTTCTATTAAAACAAATATAATGAAATTCTATCTGGCCGATCAAAAAAAATACAGAAATTATTACAAGAAACAGAAAAATAAATTTTATTTACCCTTGATATTTGGACTTTGTTATCAATAAAAGTCTTTTTAGCCATTACTGTACATTTTATCAATAAAAATTGAAAAATACAATCAATAAAAATCGATTTTGTATGAATCTGAGGTGTACATTCTGATGAAAATATAAAAAAAGTATTCTTAACATGCTTGAGAAATTTTATAATTCAAACAAAGGTAAGATTTGTTTTATATTTATTTATTAAATTAAAAGATAATGGATATTATAACTGATAAGGCCAATAACAATTTAGCATTTGCTACTACAGTAGAAGAATAGAATAGAAATCAAGCTATTTTATTTATAGTTAAAACAAACTATTTCTGATGTTTTGCCCATGTTATTAATTTAAGTATACAAAAAGCTTTAAAAGAAATTGACAATAAATTAAAACAGGTAATTTATAATATATACTGTATTTATAATATTTAAACCTTATTTTTTTTTTGTTTTTTTTAAATTTTTTTATATAGCTTTGTAAATTTGTTATAAAAATTCAATCATTACCTCAGCACTAAGAAAAATTAAAAGAAGCATATGAAATATTAAAAACAAAAAATTTAAAACCTATCTTAGATATAGAAACTCAATGGAATTTAATATATGAAATAGTTACATATTAAAAAAGTAAGTTTATATAATTTTTTAAAGTTTATACAAGTTATTTAAAATATAAAAATTCCTAAAAATTTCCTTTTTTGATAACTCTCCAAAAACACTCCAAAGAAACATCCAAGGAAAACACTTAAAGAAAAATCCACAGTACTTCTTTAAAAACAAGGAAGAACACAAATAACAGGTATACTTTGGGTTCAAAAAGTATATTAACTCTCTTCTTTAATTTTTTAGGAAAACATATAGACAGATACTT